TAAGTAAAACTCCAGAGCCAGCGGCAAGAGCACCCTTGGAGAGCATCAAGACCACTACCCCATTGGAGCTTGTTTGTATTGATTTCTGGGCTGCTGAGGATAGGCACAATAAATCTGTGGATGTCTTGGTAATCACTGATCATTTCACCAAGCTAGCGCATGCTTTTCCTTGTCGAAACCAGTCTGCTAAGAGTGTTGCTAAGAAACTATGGGATGGATTCTTCTGCATCTATGGCTTTCCTCAGCGTCTCCTTTCGGACCAGGGTGCCAGTTTTGAGAGCGAGCTGATAGCAGAACTTCTTGATCTTGCCAGTGTAGACAAGTCACAAACTTCCCCGTACCATCCAATGGGAAATGGAGGAACTGAAAGGTTCAACAGAACACTGGGCAACATGCTACGATCCCTTCCTCCTAGATCAAAACAAAAGTGGCCACAGTTAGTGCAAACAATGACATTCGTGTATAATTGCACTGCCCATGAAACAACTGGGTTTGCCCCTTTTTACCTGATGTTCGGGAGGGTGCCAAGATTACCTGTTGACCTTGTGTTTCAATGTGTCCTTCGTGATGAGTCCATATGTGATTACAACGACTACGTTCAATCCCTTGTCAGAGATCTGCAGTCTGCTATGCTGCTGGCTCAAAAGTACTCTACTGCAGAACAAAAATATCAGTCTGATCAGTACAATACTTCCACCCCTTCTCAGTCTGTATGTGATCTGGCTGAATCCACAACGCCGGTCACTGATGAATTGTCACATGCAGAGTCTCTGTCTGTCATTTCTCATGTAGCTGTATGTGATGATGACCCTGTTGCTGCTTGGGTCTCATCCCATTCTACTCAAACTGTTTCTGAGGCACGTGATGATGTATCTGTTGTCGACTTTGACACTGTAGCCAGTGCCTCTTCACCTACTGTTCCTGTTTCTAACAATTCACATGATCCTGTGGTTCACAGTGACTCCAACAATCACTATACTACCAGGTTTGGTAGGGTAATTCGACCTGTATGTAGACTAATTGAGTCAATGGTTCAACTTGAGACCTTACTTGGTATGGAGTCTGGATCTCCTGTTATTCATGTTTAGGTCTGCGTATTGTCTTTAATGATACTAAGTGTTATTTCATGTATTCTCTCATGTTATGTTTAAGCGAAAGGTCTGAGTTATTCAAAGTGTAATGGGCACTTTGTGTATGCCTACAACATGTGTAGAGGTTTGGCCAACTTCTTTCATATTTGTATCCTGTGTTTGGGTAGCTTTCAATGCTGATTGTCCTCACTGATTGTTTGGTGTGGACCACGTAATTATTGTGACCGGTGTACAGAGTTTTCCCCTGTTCTCATAATTTTGTGTAATTCTAGGGGGGTGAATGTAACAGGTATAGAAAGTATTATGTTCATATATGTGGAATTACACAAAAATTTTCAAATGTGTACCTGATATGCCTGTCTGTGTGTGTGTGTGCACCGTCCCCTTTAAATTTCTGAATGCAATGTTGGTCTTAATTTCCTGTCTTTGCACATCCTCTTCCCTTTCTCTCTGCATGGGAGAGGTGGGTTTCTAACGAGCTCTGATTAATCCAATTACATCTTTTTCTTTTAAATGACTTTTGTACTTAAATCTGTCTAAATCATATATGAGACCTTATTTTTCATGTATATTTGATTATTTTTGTATTTTCATCACGTTTGGTCACTTTTCTGTCCGATGTGAACTGGAAGCACATGCTAATTACATTGCACTTTACATTCGTCTTACAGAAACGAAAAAGGGCGAATTCACACCGTATATACATACTCTTATGTCTTATCAGATTAAAGAAGAGTCGAACCGTCATCTGATGTCCGTCTGATTAATGCATAAAAAAATAACGCAGACTACACCGGTTACAAATGCACCCGCTGTGTAGATGTCTGCCCTCCCTGGTGCCCCACAAGTAGAGTTGATGTTTGATTAGTGTGAGATTTCACTCAAAGCCCATGTTTGAAATAACTGCGGCCCTCAACCAAACCAGTTTACTGCAATATCAAGAGTATTAGCCCTCCCTGATGCAAAACCACTGCATTGTACCAAATGGTGATTCAAGTTACAGTTTTGGTGGATGTGAACTGACCTTACATTAGCGCAGAGGGAGCTGGATTTTTAAGGATGTGGAGGGAGATGTATTTCAGCGTGGACAGAGGGTCTAATAAGCTCCTAATAAGGGTGGATCACCTCGCTGAGGAGTTATAAGGAGAGAAGATGGGCCTGAATCTGATGAATGGGCTCATTTTGTGGAGGATGAGAGTGAAGGATAAACAACAGGAGTGATAGATGTAAGGGAAAATCTAGCAGCCACGACAATCAGAGCGATCTTCCAGGCATGAAATGAACAAAGTGACGAGGCACGAATGAGTAAATCAGCTCAAACGCCATCAGATTAGGAAGCATCTGGGGTGAGTGGATAGGGTCTTATCACTGTGCACATGCAAGGGTCATCTATCCAATGTCTTGATCGTAATTGTGTTTTTTTTTGTGTGTCTTTGTGGTCAGGTTTGTACAATTTGCATTATGCCGTCTTGTCCATTTGTGCAAATTATGTAGATGTAAATAATGCTGATGGAGTCGAGGAGTTAACATTCAGAGGTGCTTTGGTGAGATGAGATGAGACAGTCATAATTCATCATGGATTGCCCTGGTAGTTCTCAATACATTTTTGTAACAAGGTTCGTAGTAAGGAAGGAAGTGAACAAGGTTGGTGTTTGGAGACTCGTGGATGTTTATTTAATAACTCAACTGTAACAAAAGTAGCTCTTCCAGCACGTTCACACACTGCCAATAGCACAAATTCAGTTCCTCGTTTTCTCTCCCTGGCCGAGCGATGCCCACGAGTCTCCGTCTCTCTCTCTCCCTCCACGTTCTCCAGTCAGCCTTTTAACTAAATACGCTACTAAATAATTGCTAGACTTGCTAATTAATTTATAATATAACTTGCTAACTAATTAACTATAAATTTACTTTATATAAATATATAAATTATTATTTTTAAATAAATAAAATGCTTTTTTGTATTAAAAATGCATTTTATATATTTTTTGTTTGCACAACAATATTGTAAATAAATAATAATCTGCATATTTGTGCAATGATATTTGCAAACTTAAGCTGCTATTAGCTATTTTTGCAATGACATTTAATGTTCAGCTCTAACATATTTTAAATACAACAAGGTGAATGATCAATGCACAAAGCATGTTTGTAGTAATAATGTAATTAATGTAAAATTGTATACACATAATTTCAATTACAATATGCCATTTATAAGGCACGAACAAGCTGAGTGATACTATCATAATTTACTTTGTATTGAAATAATTTCTATATTAATTCCATGTTTACTGTAACAGTAATTATAGTGTGAACAATAATTAAGGCTGCAACCACATATTAATACATGCATAAAACATGCATCCCTATGGTGGTGGTCCTCCAGTTTCTGTATGGTTACAACCCTGGTACTTTATGCTTAAGGTGGATTTCTTGAAAGTTCAGCAGTTACTTGATTAAATGAATAAAAAATATTTAAAAAAATACAATAAAATTGTTTCGCCCCGACTGAGTTTGAGAAAAATGAATGACATTAGCATGTTAAATAGATGTCAAAGTTAATGAACTATCTTAATCATTAACATAATTTTGCTAAATATCTCGCTTACAAGAGGTTAAGACCAATTTGTTTACAGTGGTGTATTTGAGCATGAATAACTGTGAGTGTGTGTGTGAAGCACTGAAGGGCTATGGCAGGGAGCACATCCTGTTTGGCAGTGGCAGGAAGGCGGTACACATGGTGAGCATTATATAATTGCAGTGCTTACAGGCTAATTGGAGACGCCATGGACCCTAGAGTGTATACTCAAACACTTTATGAGCGCACACACACTAACTGCAGTCTGAGGTACGCAGTGCTGGATGTGATTGTTTGGGAATCTCACTCCTAACAACTTAAGCTTGTTTCGTGGTTCGGAGTTTTGAATGGAATAGTCTAACAGTTTACAACATACCTGCATACTGTGCAGTAGGGTACAGCCCTCGGGGCCTTTTAACTGGTCTCTCCAGGCCAATTACTGCAATCAGGCATTTTGCACTTGACCTACTTACTCACCGCTCGTCTCCCGCCCCTCTTTATGAGCGCACACACTAACTGCAGTCTGAGGTAGGAATGAATAGCAGTGCTGGGTCTGATTGTTTGGGAATCTCACTCTTAACAATGTTTGCTTGTTTCGGGGTTGTGAGCGAATCTCTGGCTGTGTTTTGAATGGAATAGTGTACAGCTTATGACATACCTGCATACTGTGCAGTAGGGTACAACCCTTGGGTAAAAGGCCCTTTCCTTTGTATTTTCTCTAAAAAATACAAATTATTTGATGCTATGTATTGCAGAAGTGTTTAATGACAAAAGACTGATTTTGAAGTAAATTGATCGAACATATATTGATTTTTACAGTGTCAGATTTAGAAATTATAGCAAATGAATATCTTTAAAACTCTTATATCTTTTAAGACAGAAACTTCTATGAAATTCAGTTTTGTTCAAGGTGATAGTTCAACAGTTTCTCGACAAACATCAGAAAAGTGAAAGGATTGTTGCTGTAAAAAACCCGCTTGTTGCAGGGGTTAAAATCCTTTTACGCCATGATGGGGCCTTTTATTTTAAGTGTGGACCTTTGCTTGACTGCTTTATTTGAAAAAGATTTTAAATCAGAACTGTCTTTGATTATTACATCTTACACAAATGATGTTGCTTCATCAATATTTATAAAAAAAATTTAATTTTGTTCTGATCGTTATACATTTTATGACCAAAATGGGGCCTTTATCCCATTGTAGCCCTACCTTTGTGAAGAAGAAGTGTGCTTAATTGTATTGTAGTGTACTTCAGTTCTTAAAAGTATGTTTACAAAACTGTACTTGCAGATAATATTATATTAATGAATGTGTTGACTAACATGCCACAGCACATGTAAAGTACTTGATTATAATTTTAACTGTGTTATTTAATATTACAATTGAAGTTTAATATTTTACAAATTACAAATGTGTGATTAAAAATCTATTTAAATACACGGCATACCAGTTTCAATAGAAATGACATTAAAGTTTGTTTTAGTTTACCATAAAAGCTTGCCGATTTATGTTTCTGCCGGTGGATGCCTACCCTCCCTAACACACAGGAAAAATGTGTAACAGATGCCTTGCGGATGCAAACGGGAAATAATGTGTGTGTGTGTGTGTATGTGTGTTTTCTTATAATAAAGTTAACATTGGCTGCATATCATTTATCAGAGCTGTTGAAATTGAAGATTCACATCAAAGTCCATTTAGCATGCTTCTGTTTTCAAATAAAACCAAATAATACACATATGAGATGAAATCAACAAATGCACAAGTATATTGGATGAAGCCCATCTACATTAAGTATAGATGTTTACTCTAATGGTAGATAGAGATTTACAGAGGAAATAATCCAAATATCCTGCTCATTTTTTTTCTGACTTTGAAGCATACCGCCATACAAAACTCAATGAGATTGCCTAATATGAGCTACTGATAATGAAAACATATACGTTTTATCTGTACAGTCTTTTTATTTAATAATGAAAACATCTCAGAATCACAGACTAAGGTCAATGTCATAGCAACAAGTCTGATTCAATGCTTGTATTTTTCAAGACTACTGGCTGATTTTGGGAACGAATGAAACTCCATTAACCAGCTACCCTAATGAGGCATTTGTGTGTATGACTACCCGCCATGACACAATGTGAGATCCACCAATCAGAGAGATTCCTGAACCTTGAGTGATTTTTTTTTTTTATTGGTTAACATTAATGGAGAATATCTTATGCTCACGCATTTGACAGTACACTTTAACCACATTCCAAAGACAACAGAAGCAATTATGAAATTAAAATGCACTCAGCTAATTTCATTTAATATGCATTTAAACTAATATTTTTTACTTAATTGCAGTTAACATGCTGTTAAGTGTCTGAAAATATTACATTTAGTTCACACAAGCGTATTCTTTTAATGTATATTATTTCTGTAGTAAGTACTCTTTATAAGTATGCTAAATTGTACTTCTTTTTTACAAGGGTATGTGCTTACAGTTTTAAAAGAAATGTGTAAAACTGTAGATTGCATTAATGAGCATTCATTCTTCACATGTACATTTACAATATTTTTTGCAGTGTGCTCTGTTAAATGTACCTGTATAGAGAAAACTTGCATACTATGCACACTAAACATAGTGCATATTATCTTTATTATTATTATTTTTTAAATAGTAGGCTTTTAAAAATAGTTTGCCATTCTAAACATACCCTCTCTCTCTCTCTCTCTCTCTCTGTTCCTCCATCACCCTGTCCATCCTCAGGCTGTTATAGGTCACAGTCAATATGACCAGTCTTTGTCTCTTACATCGTGACCTTTCATTTGTCTCCCCTCTGAGACTAACACAAGCCATCTCTGTCTCACTCCTCTGAAAATAAAACCAACCTGACAAAACAGCGTTCACGCACACACACTGTGAACTGACCTTCCTCTGTTTTATCTCACCTCAGATCAACTGCGTCACCTTCCCTGTGCCCGCGTCTGCGCTGGAGCAGCAGCTTCTCAAGCCCAATGAATGGAGCTACTGCGACTATTTCTGGGTGAGAGACAGAGAGAGAGAAAGAGGACCCAACCTGGTGGACCGCAGTGGCTGAGTACTGATACTATACTACAAGGAGTAGTATCGAAATGGGCCCATCTAATATCATTAGAAGGACAGAAAACAGCTCATTGTGAAAAACTTTGACAAACTTAGGATAGTGAATAAAACTGGACAATTGGCTTGGAAACAGCAACATGCATGGTTTAAATAGCAATGTAAAAACGACAATCTCATCTGATGACTGACAGACAGAAGTGATGTGAGGTAAAGAGATACAAACGTCTACTAAAGAAACCAAAATCATTTGCCCACACGTTGAAATTAAAGCTCCCAAAATGTTTTATTTATTTATTTTTTTATTTTAGTATGTAGACATATTTCTTTGTTTTTGTTTTGACATGGTTATGACATATGGCATTTCACAGCAAGGCTATGAATCATTTACTTAATCAGATTTTGTATATTTTTCATATTTTTTTGTTTTGTTACATATAGGCTAAACAAGATGAATTTATTTGAGTAATATATTCTGTTTTTTCTTACTCTGATTTTTATTTTATTTTATTATTTTAAGGATAAACCTAGCACAATTTAGATTTATTTATTTTGTTTAATTTTATTTTATTTCTTGTAGATTATTAATTAAGTTTTTTTTTACATTGTGACTAACATGATGCTGTTTTAAGATGTTAATATGATCAAAACTAGCATCACTATATTGTTTATACTCATAAGATTGAGATGTCAAGGAGAAATGTGCTCTTTTTAATATCAAAACATCCTCACACAAGAAAAATTTAATTGAGACTAGAAATTGTGTAAGATAACTAGCATCACTTTGTTGGTGCTTATACTTACTGAATGAGATACATTAGAGATTTTGAGGAGAGATGTGCTTGTGTTTTTCAAAGTCATCAGACTTTTCAAGTGCCGGACGATAAAACATGAAAAAACAATCCCACAAACTTGCAATGATGGAGGGACCTGAGCCTAATAGCCTGGGCTAATAAACAACCACCAGAACAACTGCTCAGCAACATATGACTATTTAAGATTTATGACCGGTATATTTCCTCAAATCATCACCACTGACAGGTTTAAGAAAAATGTAATTTGAGCCCCATGCACAGACAGATGAGACAAAGACGTTAGGATGAGACAAAGAATGTGAAAATGAGATCCAGAAGGACATTTACAGTTAATCTGAGGCAGTCAGTGTGCATTCACTAGCAGAATCTACAGTGTTAGTTTAGTATCATTGAAATACTATTATTGTTTTTTTTATGAATATTTTGAACTAGTTATTATTTTGATATTATTCATTTTAAATGTAATGAATGTTTTATTAGTTTTGTTGTGTTTTTGTCATGATTATGATGATTTTTTTTAATATGTCTACAGTTTTTAATTTTTATTTCAGTTTTAGTTTTAGTTTTCAGTACATCAAATTAAACTAAATAAAAATGAGAAAGATTATCTTGGAAACCAGATAAAATAAAGTAAGTCTAAGTTTTTTTATATTTCATTTTGTTTCAGTTAACCTTTCTTTCAGGTAACAAAAATGTTTTTCATAGTTTTTATTTGTTATTACTTTAACTAAAATTAATTTTAATTTTAGTGAAATAATTCACCCAAAAGTGAAAATTTGCTGAAAATGTGCTCACCCTCAGGCAATCCAAGATGTACTTTGCTTCTTCTTAGGAGCAGATGTAGAGAAATTTAGCATCACATCACTTGCTCACCAGTGGATCCCCTGCAGTGAACGGGTGCCATCAGAATGAGAGTCCAAACAGCTGATAAAAACATCACAATAATCCACAAGCAATCCACACCACTCCAGTCCATCAATTAATGCCTTGTAACTTCAATCCATTGCTTCTTGCTTCTGGAGTCCTCTATACATAATTTTGCCTTCTCCAGTGAAAAAGTCATCCTGTCTGAATCAGGAGAAAAATATGCACAGATCAAGCAACAAACAGTTCTAAACAAATATGTTGGTGATTTTGATGTGAGAGGTCAACAGGGGATGGACTTTTGCACTGGAGGAAGCGTTATGGAAGTTAAAACTGATGTCTTAATGATGGATTTGTTTCTTATAAGCATGCAGCTTTTCACTTCATTGATGGACTGTTGTGTGGATTACTAGTGGATTATTGTGATGTTTTTATCTGCTGTTTGGACTCTCATTCTGATGGCACCCATTCACTGCAGAGGATCCATTGGTGAGCAAGTGATGGAATGCTAAACTTCTCCAAATCTGTTCTGATGAAGAAACAAACTCATCTTAATCTTTGATGGCCTGAGGGTGAGTACATTATCAGCAAATTTTCACTTTTATGATGCATGCACACAGGCAAATGATAAACAGGAGTATTTTGTTGGGAAGATTCTTCCTGGCTGTTTCTCAAGCCAAGCGTGAAAAGGTTATGACACTTCTGTTATGTGTGGGATGGCACGTCAGTGGCCGTCACAACAGCAGACTCTTAAACCTCCACACACACACACACGGAAAAGCATATTTCATTAACATGCTGCATACATACACTGCATCAGGAGCCCTCACATTACATTAGTCATTCCCTCAACAACCTATACACACCCTTCACTGAAACGCACACTCACAGTTACACCCGCAAGGATGTACACCTCACACACGCTGTGACTCGTGCACACATGTGGCCGCTCTCACACACATCTGATCGTGCTAACGTGTTGTTGACAGTCTGGTGCTGATGAAGTGGTAGCATGCATGACGCCGCGTGTGTGTAACATCTCTCTGTCCTCTGCAGGCCGATAAGAGGGACCCTCAGGGGGCTACGGTGTCAGGGTTCGAGGTGCTGCTGCAGAAACAGCTGAAGGGGAAGCAGATGCAGAAAGAGATGGCAGAGTTCATCAGAGAAAGGTGGGCAAGTCTCTCTCTCATAATGACATGATTCTTACATAACACCTCACTCTCTGTTGCCTTTTTGAGTGTTATGTTTTATTTTTCACACTGAAAACAATTTTATTCTTCATCAGTTTTTTTCCAGTTAAAATATCTAAATATTCTTAAAACATAAACTCACAAATATAAAAAAATTTGTAAAGTGATATGAACACAACTTTTCTTCTTACACTAACAACATTAAGAAAACTGATGATTATTATTATTATTATTATTATTATCCGTTTAGGCTCTTAAATGAATAGTTCGCCCCAAAATGAAAATTCTGTCATCATGTTGTTCCAAAGTCTTTCATTCATCTTCGAAACGCAAATGATTATATTTTTAATATTCTCTAATCTTTTGTCCATCTATTGAAAGTCTATGCAATCAACATTTTCAAGCTTCAAAAAGTTCATAAAGAGATCTTAAAAATATTCCATATGAATTGAGTGGTCAAATCCAAGTCTTCTGGAGAAATACAATCGCTTGATATGTATCAACGCACATACATAGAGCACATCAAATATGGTAAATGTAAGTTCAAATGTGCTTGTGTCATGCATAAGAATCAATGAGGTTGTTTTCACGTCACACATGCACGTTTGAGCTTATGTGCTTTATTAGTGCATTCAAATCATGTCAGAAAGATTGTAGTTACAAATTGAATGCACATGAACGTAACCACAAAGTTGTAATTACAAGTGGAAAACTTAACTTAACGAGTGGGAATTTTTCTGTGCTAAGGGTGTGTCATTGAGAAAACATGTTGAATGCATAGATGCAGCATCTGTATTAATGGTAAATTTGTTGAAATTAATGGATTGCTGTTTCCATTTTCAATAAAACTATATAAGTTCCATGTACAAAATATCATAGTATTCTACAGCAATGATAGCATATACAGTGTAATGATTCTGGTTACAGAACCTTCATAAATTCATTACAAAAGCAAAAACACCACAGATGCACATTCTTTGTTTTGTCATTTTGTAGAATAGTGTTACAAAAATCTAGAAATGGTACATTGTCATCTTACACCGACTGAAGTGATTGGAATGCCCCTGACATTGTAATTACAACTTCCTAGCTTGATCAATGTTTACATGTGAATAAATGCCTGTAAGTTTACTTTTTCTTACCCCAAGATTTATTTTCAACTTTACGCCAGAAACAAGAAGAGACGTATGCAATAAGAAAAACAATTATTTGTCAATGGATTAGGAAAAAAATAATTAGAAATGTTCTAAAAACAAGCCTAAATATGTTATGCAATTTTGCTGCTCATGTAAACTTGTATCTTGTATCAAATACTTTTGATTTTTAACTTTATTTGTATCAAAATGTGTGTTTTTTTTACATATTAGGGCAAGCATTTGTGAAGGATTTTGTCAGACTCAATGTCAGAATCAAACTAAACTCACAGGGATTGATCAAACCAATGTTTCGGCTTCCATCTGAAAGGATAGGAATGGATAAGAATCACAGGAACAGATAAACATTACAAAATGTTCAGTGATGGTATCAGATGCTAATATGGTGATAAGGGTGCTTTCACACCTGGCTCGTTGTTTCGGAACCTGGCTCGTTTCCCCCCTTAGCTCGGTTCGTTTGGGCATATGTGAACACGGCAATCACACCCGGATCCGCGCCAAAACAATCATCCGAGATCGCCTGAACGAGGTGGTCTCGGCTCGATTGAAAACTAACTCTGGAGCGGTTCGGTTGTAGTGAGAATAGGGTTTCCATCTTCAGAAAAGGAAAATAAGGGACAATCGTGGTTTTTCATAGAAAAATAAGGGACAG